AAGTTTTATTAGTAGCACATTATCAATTTCTATATAAATCTTATTGTATCACCAAAATCATATAACAAAATGATCTACATACCCCTACCCTTAACATTTAGTAATTATTGCAATATATTAAAAATATTAAAAATGGTTACTTTTCACCTATCCAGCTAGGCCTTTGTATAGACCAAGTAGGCCCATAGGTACCTATAAGTATATCAGCAAATTTAATAGAGTATAATATTACATAATAAATTATGACCCATAAAAAAGGTGTAATATAATATAAAATATCAAAACCTTGTAAAATATTAAATTATGAAATATAGTGTAAGAAATTTTACAAAGTTACAAAAAAAAAAGCGAAAATTTATAACAAATTTATAGTTAAAAATTAATTCACATTAATTCAAAATTGATTAGAGTAAATAAAAATAAGTAAAACTATTGACAATAATAAGTGTATATTATTAAGAGTAGGGTGTAACTATTTCTAAATTCATATAAAATAGATTGTAGATCAACTTTGTGTAACCAATATCATATGGTATCATATGATTTACGTATAAACAACACATGATTTGACCAATCATAATTAGCAATTATTTGTGTAACCAGAGAAAAACATATAGCGTCCAAAGAAATTTTTAGGGGTGGTTAAAGACGATCTTCGGTCCCGTGACTTCCGAGCAAGAATTCGCAGTGAAAGTTATAGCCTAATTTTATGAATTTTATGTGATATTCTGGTTTTTATTGGATATATTTTGCTCGGAAATCAGGAGGCCGAGGATCGTTTTTGTCACCACTGAGGTAGTTTTATAAGCAAAATGATGAGTTACCAGCGATTTTGAATTTTATGTTACGCTTGATCTTGTAATTTAATTGGAAGACGGAAAGTTGCGTAATCAACTTTGTCCAGTCAGTGATGCTAATTACATACATCCAATCTAAAGTGAGGGAGAAATTAGGGCGCAGTAGTGATTACAAATTAATCTCAAAGACATTTGATCGAGTTTTATTCGAGTTACTCGAGTCTTAGAAGTCAAATACTATTATAAAGGCAAATATATTTCATATTCCGATCGGAGGAGAGCCTCTTTCAAATCTATCCGACAAATGCAGGGCAGTGGGGCAAAAATTTTGATTTTGTAATATTATAAAAATTGTATTCCTATTAATCTAATTCTTCGTAAAAAATTTTTTTGGCCCTCTGCCCTTTCGTTGTGGGGTCTCAAATGATAAAAATTTAATATTAATACACCACATCTAATTAAATGATTTTTCAATCAAATCATGTGTTTATTGAAAAGTTTAATAAATCAATTATTAATTTTTCAACAACCAATACTTGAAATATCGCAAGATTTTCCAAATAAATTCCACCAAATATAATTTTCAGTAAGTATAGCTAGGGCAAGTAAAAGGATTGCTATTATAACACCCCAAAAAGCAAACCAAACATGAAGAAATCCACTACGTAAGTTTTTTTCTCCAACACAATGGCTTATAAATGCTATAAAACTATTAAGCGACCATATACCACAGATTATCGTGATATATTTGCTCCGACAAAAGTAACCGACTGGAGGTGTTAAGTATGCCAGAAGTAAAGCAGTCCAAGGTAAAATAATCGATGCAAAAGCGGTTAACGTTACGATAAAATGTTGATCACCACTTTCCGAACTTTTCGGTTCCAAAACTATTTTTATTTTACGAAACATCTTCTTAGGATCTTTAACTACTAAATTTCCTGAAAATGCTCTTCTAAAAAGTGCTGGAATTGTCCAGGACAATAATATAGGTATGTATGGCCAATCTTGACAGGAAACTGCACCTAAAGCCCTGGAAATTCCTGCTATAATACCGACCAATATATAATATGCTGATACTAATGATGAAAATCTTTCTAAAACTGATGCTCTTGCTGTGCATAAGTCTATGCTTTTATCTATTGTATCCATAGTTTGATACATGCTCACTTTCATAGCATGAAATCCGATAGGTTTACATTTTGGTGAAGTTGATGGTGATCCTCTTATTTCAAAATAATCAGAGGAAAGCCAGAATAAACAGCGTGATCTTTTATCACCTCCTATGTTAACGGCTGAAAAAACTCCCATAAATGGGCAACCGAGACATCGAAATATCCATATTAGTTTATAACTAAACTTATTTATCGGTGATGCGCCTACTATGGCTAAGGCTGGTAAACAGCCAATTACATACTGAGGAACTGGTTCTAATAATGAATGTATGAATTTCGGAAACCCTGTTGCCATTTGAACTGGAATTCGGATAAAAAATAAGTTTGAACAAAAAAAGTTTGGTATTAAAGGTATTAAAGGATGAGATAGGAACAAACTTCTCGTATTCTGCATGTGCTATATATATATGTATGTATATTATAAATTTCTTTCTAATAACTATATATGCTACCAATTTCATATATTTATGTAGCATTCGTTTAACATCTTTATAATAATTCCTTTTAAGTTAATTTGGTAATCATTTAATAAACAAGATTCTCATAATAGATATAACGGAATAATGTTTTAAAATTATATTGTCTCTTTGTGAATTAGTGAGACACAAAATTTTGTGATTCTTCATTGCATATTATGCTTATTATTCAAAAAAAATCTTTGTTTACGGATTACAGTACGTACGTACGTCTTAGTGGTTCTCATAGAAGTTAGTGGAATATTAACGATAAAATTTCATCCCAGATTTTTCTTTTTTTTTGAAATGGTGTATCCAGTGTTGGGCTCTGGACCAAAAGCTGCTCTACTGGACTTATAGGTCCAGTGGACCATTTATAAGTCCAGTTCCAGTTCAATTTTACTGGACTTGTATATCATTTGATTTGTTTTAACGAGATGAATCTAATAAAAATTAATTTAAAAATTCAATATTATGTAATTATTCCGAAAAAGAATGGTAATTGGTCATACATGGATAACATAGATACAGTTTCAGTTAGATAACAAATATGTTTTTAGGTTTAGATAAAAATAGTGTTTGTAGTCGATTTTGCATTAGTCGATAAAATCGGCTTAGCCGGCTTAGTCAGCCGATTTTTTCAAAAATCAACTTTAGTCGACTACGATAGATTATATGGGGGGTGAGTCAATAGAAATTAACTAATTTTTTATAGTAAAAATTTTTTGTTGAAACCTTGACTAAATTTAATAAATAATTTTTTTAACAAACTTGTAAAATTAATTTAAAAAAAATTTAATTAAATTTGATTAAGTTTTTGTTAAGTTATCCTTGTTTAAAGTATTTAAAAAAACTTATTAAAAAATATTTGCTTGGTTTCTATTGACTCAACTCCATATATATTATATTAAAAGTTTAGGCCAGTTTATACTAGAATCCGAAAATTTCCGAAAAGAGCAAGGTTGAGACAAATATTGAGGAAATCTCCGATAACTTCTAAAGTTTAATCAAATACAGTAGAACTTAGAATAATCGACTCTGGTTTAGCCGGCTAGGCCGATTTCTAAATATCGACTTAGTCAAGTCGATAAATAATGGTCGATTACAAAAACTAGATTAAAATATACAGGTTTAGTTAGATAAAAATATACATTTAGATTAAGAATTACATAAATAAAAGTTTAACGCTTATTGGTCTGTTCTAATTGCTTAGACTAGTAATCTCTATTAAAATAATAACTCTGATATTCTATTTATATAAATGCTTTATTATAGTAATTACGTGATCTTAATAAATCATTATATTTACCAATGAAATTCAATGTTCTCAATGTTCTCCGAGAACACTAATCAGATTTTAACAGCACAAATTATTTAAAATATGATCTATACTTGAAAACATTAAATAAAAATTTGATATTATCAAATTTAATTTTTTATATTGAAAACTTTAAAAAATTTTTAAAATATTAAGGACTTGAAAAGGTTCTTGTGAGAACACAAAATCAAAAATTGACTGAATTCCTGTCAAACGCTATATAGCATATGCAGTTAAAGGATTTTGAATCAACCTCATGTTGATTTTGAATCTATTTAGTAATAATTTAATAATTATAAATTATTAAACTATAATTAGATTTGAATTACAGTATCGAAAAAATATAAATAAAAATTTGATTAATTTTTTTCTAATGTCAGTCTCGAGTAGGAGAAACATGTCTATTAGGGTATATATGAGGCGTCGTCAATCAAACGTAACTTAGTGAGATTGATCATTTTCTTACACAAATTAGAGAACGTTTAATTGTAACATGTTACTTGTAACAACCTACGTACTTATATAGCCGACAAAAAATAAATAAAATACTGATTGATAACACCCTATGTTACAATTAGAAATCTCTTAATTTTATCACTTTGTGTAACAATTTTCAATTTCACTAAGCTACGTTTTGAACATTGATGCTTTAATTGTGATCTAATTTTTTAATAAAAAATCTTATGAAAACTTCAAATTAAGTAATTCATTTTATTAAAATTTATATAATAAGCTAAGTTTTAAAATTATAAATTAAAAATAAAATAATAAATTTATAAAAATATCTTTTAAATAAAAAAAGAATAAATTCTATATAGTAGTTTTAAAAAAAATCAATTTTAAAAATTTATCAAGTTTACTAAAATGCACCTCTTATGGTGCTGAACATCATAAATACTATTACTCAAAAACGTACTAAGTAATTGTATTTTTAATATTTTTGTTGCTTATTATGTAAACAAACTAGACCAGGTTATAATTTATTTTCTTACATCACATAATATAGATTCTAAATATAAATTTTGATTGCTTTTTAAAACTTTAAATATTGTTTTCATAATAACTACTGATTAATTTCAATAAAATTTTTTTAAATTAATTTTTACAAATTTGTAAAGATTTAAATAAAAAAATTTTATTAAAATTTTTCAAAATAGTTATCAAGAAAACTTAGAAAATGCACATAGAAAAACTGGAACAGGTTACGCAAACTGTATTAGTAACGATAATATTAACATTTATTATTAATATAAATATATATATACAGTATATATGAAAAAAATGATTTAAATCACTTTTACTTTACCATCTATGTTGCATTAATCTTAAAACTGGCTAACTAATTAATATGAGATACTCTAAGTAAAAATGTTCTACGTCCCCCAAAACCAATTCCAAACCTTAATTCTAGCACTAAATACTAATCCCCAACATGAAAAATTTGTATAAAAATATATAAAAGGTGTAAAACCACCATAGGTGCGTTTTATAATTATTATAATTTTTAATTGTAAAAATGCATAAATAATAAAAAAAACTAACTTCTTTATTTGCTTTAAATGCGGAGATATAACTTAAAAGAGAAATAAACTTATTTTCTTTATTTGCATTAATAACTATACAATTTTTTTAACAGTCATTCTTTTTTGTAACGCTTTCAAGTTTGTTCATAGCTGCCGTCATGAAAACACTGTTTTTATCTTTCGTCAATTTTTTTAATCATTATACAGAAATCACTTGAACTGGAATTTATGAATCGTAAAGTCGACAGATATAATAATTTTCTTGTTGATATATTGCGAACTTTTCTATGATTGCAAACCAAGCAGTTTTTAGGATCTTTTATAAATGTTCAATATTAAAATTATTGTCGCGGTGATGCTGAAATTGGCTGATGCTGAAATTTTGACTTATTTTATATGAAATTTTAAAAAATTTTCGGGCCTGGTTTGAGGGTAGAGTTGTTAGTAAAAAAGTATATGTGAATTTTAGTAGACTGTTTGCTAGAAATCGTAGAAAATAGTAGCACAAAGTATCATGTGAACTTGGTTGATTTTACTAACCAATCACATACAAGTGGTACAGCACTTATCAAGTTATAAATTTTCGTACGTATCGGTATCAAGCTTCATGCAATTTTACATATTTCATTTACTTGTTGACTTGTTAGCAACATGGTAAGCAAATGGCAATGCCCTTTTATTCAAAATTATTAAACTGACGTTCCTTTTTTACAGAGCGTTCAATATACAACCCATATAGAACAGTCAAATGGTAAACGTTCGGAAAAATTCATTAAATAATTTTAGTAGCAGCATTACTAAATTCCTTATAACATAAATAGCACATTCCAGTGGAATTTGGTCAGCTAGGTGGTCTCCACGTAGTAATGTAGTTATTACAGGATCATTAGACAAAACTATAAAAGTTTGGTATGCAAGATAATGCTTTTTCAATTTTTAAAAATTCATCATTTTGTTATAAAAATAATTATGTTAATCTTTAACCTTTCAAAAAGGGATGCAGAAACTGGAGAATATTATCGTACTCTTCACGGACATAATTTAGGAATCATATCACTAGACATTGATCCTATGGGAGAAAGTACGTGTAATTCATAGTATTAAATCGTGTAATTGTAAGATTAATTTAAACGAATTCTTATCTCCTATTATGCAGTGATTGTATCTGTATCGTTAGATAATACAATCAGAAGATGGTCAGTAACTGATGGAATTCATCTCGAAACAATACAAGTCAAACCTGGTGAGCCAGAACATTATTACAGCGTTTTAGTATAATTCACGTCGAAGATTAATAATGAATTTTAGGTGACGCTTGGAGCTGTCAATTCTCGCCGTCATCTGAAGTACGTTATTTTGCTACCAGCTCTCAAAAAGGAAAGGTAGATCTTTGGGACATTTCAACAATGCCTTCGAGTGTAGTCCAATCTTATTCATCTGGAGAAGGGAAATTTGGATTTTGTACGCGTTTTGTATCCTATTTATTTTTTATCTTTTTTTTTTTTTTTTTTCTTTGAAAATTAAAGATGACTATTTGAATTCTTAAACAATATTCCTGTTCTTAAGAGCCCTAACGGTAAATTACTTGCATTTAGTGCTGAAAATGATTGTATCCATTTGTTTGATGTAGAAAGTGGAAAGAATATTCATAAATTTAAAGGTCAGGAATATTTTAATTATATTTCTCCCATTCTCTATTATTCATATTTGTTATTTATATTCTATTAGGCGAGACTGGCTGTCCTATAAGAACGATCGATTTCACACCAAATTCATCTTTACTGATATCTGGATCTGATGATGAAACAATCAATATTTATGACGTGTATTTATCAAAATTAATCAAAATTTATGAACATTTTGCAACAGTAGTGATTTCTACAAAGGTATACTGACGTATAGTATTGATGTTTAGACGCCACTTTAATCGTATAGGTAAATGCACAGGTCTCGATGGTTTTGTTATGAGCGTTGCAGCAGCTGGAGATAATGAACATTTTGTCAGTGGGTAAGTTTAAGAGAGGAAATAAAATATGTAACGCTATAATTACAGTATAATCTAACTCTATTTAATATACCAGTTCCACAGATGGGAAGGTGAAACTTTGGAACATAGAAAATAAACAATGCTTAAGCACTGTCGGCCAACATACTGAGCAAGTAAGAAAATTAGTAAATTGACCTTTTTTTTTTCTCTTATGAATATTATCTTAAGATGTGAATTTTATTTATATAAGGTTTCCGCACTTTCTTGGAATCCCGACGGTGATAAATTTATATCTGTATCTGAAGATAGGTCATTGAAATGGTACACAGCAGCATCATAAAATTAGTTGATTTGCAGCCGCTGAGGGGTTGCTTGAATATCTTATGAAGATCAATTTATTTTGTAATATATTATGATAAATAATAAGACTAAGAATACATGAATCTAGTTCACATTTAATTTCAATGAAAATTAAATCAGATAAATAGTATGTAGATATGAGTGGATCTTCATGGTGCTTACGAACGTATGCCCTTTGATTAATTAAAGTTTGTTTCTCTGAAATAAACAATACCTATTTATGAATGCTTATTTCATATTAACAATTATATAATACACATAGGATTCTACATTTTTTGTTAATTCAATAAAAATGTAAATTATTAATAAGTAACGTCGAAACTTTGGACTCCAGGTAAAAATTCACCATTTATACAAACAAAAGTAAATTTCCTATCATTAATATTTATAGAGAAATCTTTACTGCTATTTACACGTTGACGTGCGACGGTTCTGAATGGATATATCGTGCAAATTAGATGAAAATGATAGTCACATAATTTTAGGGTCACTGGTGAAGTACCGGTGCGAGAGTTTTCATCAGAATCCGGATTTTGTCTGATTAAAATATATTTAGTGTCGTCTTTATTTTTCCAGGGAACCCAAGAATCAGCGTATCTTGTCGTATACGGCGGGATTGAGTAATCATCATTGTGGTTTTCGGAATTTATGAGATTGAATAGATTGGCGGTATTATTTGTTATTTGACAGATATTTAGAACCATTCTTTGATTGAATGAGAAAAATTACATATATATTAATAATTATAATGTGAATTGTCAATTAAAAAAAAATTTTTTTTAAGGTATATACGTACAGAAACGTATGCGTGTAAGTTTATATTAACTTTATTTTGATACTGCGCACATATTAATACGTTGATCTTTTTTTAGTAAGTATCACTAACGCCAAAGGGGAATTCCGCTAATTGTTTAACGTTAATGTTAATCTGATCTAATCTTTAACGTTAATCATGATGACAAAATTGGTAGGGTGGATAATTGGAACTCTACTGCGGCGAAAAACTCTCCTATCGCTATGGAGATTAAGTTTCAAGCATCGGTGAAAAAATTTCGTCTGAATATTCGGTCTTTATTTAGATCTATAAAACCTACAGTACTAAAATCCCACCTAATTAATAAACACTAACCCTAAATTCTAATCTAACAATTATATAAAATATATAGGTAGAATTTCTGCCAATTTCCCACATTTTAGATATTATAAAATTGAATAAAAATGCTGTCGAACTCAGGAGCACTTTTTAGCCTGCTATGTGTTTCTAATTTTTTGGTTTCTTTTTTCTTTTTAGAGCAGACTCTTTTATATTGGATTTTAATTAAATTCACCCTTTTCATTATTAAAGGAGAATTTTATTGGAATATTAACAAATATGTAGTATTTTATTCAATACTGTATTAAATAAAATTCTATGTTTTAAATCAATGCCAACTTGGAAGATTTAATAAATCAATATTTATGAAACTATTATTTAAAATTAATATTTTAAAAAAAAAAGTTTATGGAGTTTATTTAATTAAAAATAATGGAACCTATTTATGAGTTGTTTTTTACCAGTATTGAACAATTTTTTTTTATCATACGTAGTTTTTCTCTAAAAGGGAACGCGTCTATAATGTCTGCAGGTAATTCTTCATTATACAAGTACCTTCAATTGCCTGCTTGTTCTTTAGTTTTTTTTTTTTTTTTTGAGTGATTCCTCCTTTATAATAAAGACTTTTGAGTGATTCCTTTAATTATATCGTATCTCTTGCTGTTTTGTATTTTGTTATGTCGTATGAGTTATATACATGCTTAACGTGGCATCAATCGTGTAACCACCGACGATTTTAAATATATACTGTAAATGAAACACCGTTGATAACAACACAACAAGACACGCTCATGAACAGAATGTGTAGGTATATTCCTTACATGATCAACCACTAAGAAACTAGATAGATATGCAGTTTTAACTTATCGTTATGTCCACAAAGGCAACCTAATTGAAATTTGGGCTTCATGCAAAACCACTTCCAACAATGCTAAAGAATTTCGGAATTTCTTTTTCGAACGGTAAGGTTTTATTAAATTCCTTTCTTGACTTGATATCTTTTTTTGATTCTTATACATTATTTTTAAATACAGTATAAATCAACTACATATGAATACACAAACTTTCGATGAATGGACTATCTTTCGAAAAAATTATTGAAAATCCAAATATAATTATAAGTGCACACACTTGGGATAGAGAAGAGAGATAGAAAGAGAGAGGAGAGAGAATTAAAACTCCGATCATGTGCCGAAGTCATACAAAAATATGGAATTGTAGAGAAGTGTGGGTTAAATTTATAATATTTAATAATAATTTGTTTTTAAAAAAATATGCTTATAAAGAAAACTGATTTCAGAAGACGTTTTTCCGATGGATCAAGATTTCGATTAAGACTGGATAAGATTGTATGTATTATCAAATTGTATCTGTTTTTAATGTCATTTGAACTAGTCTATAATTTAATCATTTATTAAACTTATAGATTGCATGAATATGAAGCAGAAAACTTTTATGAAGGATTCAAAGGTTTATATCTTTTAGAGTCGTGCCCAGCAATTCAATCAGAATTTTGAAAAACCAAAGTCCACATTAGTATATACGTACCTAGCCTTGGCTTGTCGAATAGTGTATCAGCAACACAACATATTACAAACATGTTATTTACGAAGAAATGAATGATAAAAACATCAGTTTGCACCTTCCAACAATACGCTTCCTTCACCATTTTATTAATACTACAAAGAAAGAGATGTAGATATTAATACGATTTAGAAGGCATTGATGCCGTAAGGTAAGAAAATCTTCCTTTTTAAATAATCAACAAGATTTCCTAATCAAATTTATTCTTCACAGGGACGAATCTTGCAATAACTTGCATCCGAAAATTACAACAAAAAATGAAAAGCGTGTTGTCTCCGCGTTAGTAAAGAAATTAGGTTGAAGAGGAGTATAAAGGGTACTGTAGCCATACTTACTAAAAATTTCCCAATCGAACAAAGAGGACTGATGGTTCGAACCGATAATGATACCCAGCTTTTACCGACCTAACCCCTGGTCTGACCCCTAAATTATTAAAGTTATCTACGATGATAACTGATAATGATAGAATGTACTTTGACAAAATTTCGAAAATTTTTTTTGGTTTCGTCCAAGTATATATTTAAATTATTATTTATTAATTAAATAATTATATACTGTATATATATATTTAGAAATTTAAAATACCACAACGCCTCGCCATCATTAATCCACCACACAACTTAGAGAGGTCGTTAACGCAACAAGAAGAATATTATACCGTGTAGTTTGAGATATCCTGATGGATTGAATTAAATTAAATAGTACATAGTTTATTTATTTCGTCATAATCTTTAGAGATGTTGGATGCGTCAAATTTTTAATTTTAAAATTTGTTTCGTAATTTCGCCTTTCAAAATTTATTTAACATTTTACTTAGCATTAATTATTACCCATCTACATTTAATATACTTGTAGCTATGCGATATTAATGTGCTTTGAAATATGCATCTTACTGATAAATTATAGATAAACGTATTTTTTTTCTTTTAAGTTCGATATTGGAAAAACGAGAATTCATCATGCTACCAATTTATAGATCTCTATAATTTATGCTGTAATTCAAATGTAAATTTGTTTTTTTTGTCAAATTAAACTTGATCTAAATTAATTCGTTTTAATTGAATATAATATTTGAAAACAAGTTACGCCAATTAACATTTATTATAACTAGAGATTCCACAAAATCAGTACATCGATTAAAAAAATCTGATTCGTCATTATTGAAATTTGTATGACGTTTTTAATAACGCATCCGTGAGTTTTTTTTAATACTTTCATTCATTTAACCTTCTTTAACTGAAATAAAACTCTGTATTTCATTATCCTATAGGTCAAGAATAAGTTGACTATAAATAGTTTAAAATAAAGTAAAGAAATCGTCAACTCATCATCTTTGTCTAAAGCTACTAAACGACGAAAATCTTTTTTTCTGAAAAACAAACTGATTGAAAGACAAAAGCTTGTTTCGAGAAGAATAATAATGAAAAGTCGAATGCGAAAAAGTTATTTACATTGCTCAATGAAAAAAATATATATAGTTTGTAATGTAAAAAGCTAATTGAAAAATTGAGATTTATAAATGTTTTAATTCTCTCTTCGAAGTATTAATCGAAAGGCTCATATGACATGTGATATTTTGATTTTTTAGTAGGTTAAATAACGATGGTTTTTTGCGAAATTTGCAGATCAAAAAAAAAACCCCCCGATGATTTCTGATTTTGTTAATAATTTGATTGTGTATTATTAAATTTTTTTCTTTTTTAGTTCGATAAAACTTACTATTGCATGAACAAAAAAGAAAATTCAATCTTATAAGAATTATTACATGATATTAGTTGATACACAGTACATACGTCATCAGAAGTAATGTCTTTTTTTTATCGGCAAATTTCACATAATTTTGCAAACCGCCGAAGCAAATATTTGTTTGTTTGTTTGCCTGGGCATATATATTATATTTTATCCAAAGCGTACGCAAGGGTAGGGTAAATGCCTTGCTACACCAGCTGTAGTGTAACACGTGAGCTATAATTTCACGTATTTTATTGGTTCTATCCACCTAACATTACATATATTACATAGACGTGCATTCACTTAAAGAGTTCTTGCTACGCTTCGAGCAATAACATATTAACTGTACTATTAGTAAAGTTATAACTTAAATATATAATATAACTTGTCTTTTATATTATATCAAAATAAAACCATGTATTTAATAAAAAGAGAATAATAATTTAATAGCGATAACACATTTGCTGGGTAAATAAATTAATTAGTGTTTATGATTGTTTGCCAAATAAGGGTACATAAAGTTAAGTATTAATTTATTGGATAAATTTGTATGCGTAATTTATTTGATTGTTTATTATGTGTAATATAAATAAAAGAATAATTAATGCTAATGGTGGTAGCTTTTACGACTTTTATTGTGAATATGCAATAAAGGAATACTAAAAATAACAAAGAGTAATAAATTATTAATAAAAAGAAAAGATTGAGAACCCTTTCTCGTTACTTTAGGGGATATTATTTTTCAATTATGAGATGTTGAAACTGAGAAATTGATCATTTCTTGCTTGAAAAGTTATGTTTCAAAGGTTTTTTTTTTACGACACTAAATAAACGGTTCATAACGAAAAGTGATAATGATGACTTCTTCGGCTTTTAACAAACACGTGGTACATGCGCAACTTATATAAATTGAACAAACGTAAATAGTTAATTGTTTTTTCAAATTTAGTCGCCTTTTTTTGTATACAATGTAGTGCAAAATTTGCTGTATCAAGTTTTTTGGCATAAATACATCAATTTCCTAATTTTGAAGACTTATATCGAATTCCTTAACAAATACATTATATATGTATAGACCCTTTCTATAAAAATTAAAAATGAATACTAACATTCTTTTTGTAGTGTTTCTTTTATGTTTTGCTTTGATTGTTGAAGGTTTACATATTACTCCAAATCAAAATCATTTAATACGCCGTAATCCACAATCTCCAGACAACGCCGCTCAAACTTATTCATCAGACCCCTACCCAACAGAAAGCAATACAAATCCGGAACCAACAATTTCAGATACTCAACTTCAATTCACAACACTTAAATCTACTCCTACTTATACTCAATCTGAACCTACTTCTACTCAATCTACATCTACTAATACCGAATCTAATTCTAACCCTATTCCCGACGCTTCGGATTCTCAAACTGATTTAGCATGTTATGCATGTTGGAAAGGTCGTCGTAATAAATTACCACAATGTAATAATATTACTGATGACCAATGGAATAACTTTTACAATAATCCAAATGATGCAAATTGTGCTAATTGTCTTTGTAGCTTTGCATTAAATTATACACAAATCAGTAGCTATTGTAAATCTGATTGCTCTCAAGATCTTGATTCACAGCTCTCTAGCCAAGCTAAAGAATATCTTACCAAATATAAATGTAGTAGTAATGGTGTTAGTGGGGTATATACTTCTAATAACGTTCAATCTAGTAGTTACATGAATAATAATTCTACAGCGACTGGTAATTCTACTGCAAGTAATACCACAGCGAGCAGTAGTTCAACCAGTTACATATATTATGCTAGATCTGTTGAAAAAGTTTATTCTTCTTGGTTAACTTTGTTTTTGGGAACATTCATATTTATCTATTTTATTTAAAATCTTTAGAGATTAATTCTTTTTTTTTAGTTTACTTGGACAATTAGAAATGACATTAAAACAATATAAGTCTTTAAATCATTTTTAATTTACTGGGACTATTAGAAATGACATTAAACTAATATATAATTTTGTTCCTTATAAATAAATAAAATCGCACTTCATAATTCACATTGTCGTCAGAAAATGGGGGGTTTTTTTGACTACGATAAAACTGGTGAGTATGTATCATCGTATAGCATTTACTGTATATACTGTAGTCATTTAAATTTATTGTCGCTGAAACTTATGGTCTGAAAATATAAGCCCTATTAAAAATTCACGTATACTTTTTAATCATCAATTCAAACCTAAAAGAAAAGCTACCGGTAATTGAGATTCAATAATGAAGATAAGTTTTCTATCTTAAGATATTCACCGGTTTACTCACAATACAGTATTTGTCATTTTTCAAACTATTAATAGTTTATTAAAAGGCGAGAATGGATGGGCACGAATGTAATCAAAGTATTCTGAAATTCATTCATTAATATTTCCTTTAGTGAAAGTGTTTTCGATTCCGCCATAATAGTTTTATTATTTATATATTCCGGGTTTTTTGTCTTTAAAAAGGTGAAAATTTGATGACAACTCCATCACCTTGGGGAAAGAATGGTCCCTTACGAGGTTGCAAAAGTTTCCAGCCTCATTTTCTGTATTAAAGTGTAGGTTTGCGTTTGTTGTAAAATATTACACGTATAAAAGTTTGAACCTTTTGTTCATCTCTTGAACCGATTGTATATTGGGTTATTGCCAGACAATAACTGTAGCAATAAAAAAATAAGTTAAATTCAATTTAGTACCTATAAAGCAAATGAAGTTGACAAGAATACCTTTAACCATGTTAAGTAATAATCACAAAATGATCGCATCGTATCTTAACACATCCATTCTTTCTTCACAACCTTCACAATATGATTGTGCTGGTTCTCTTTGAGGTGATATGAAATTGCTTGTTTTTTCAGCACTAACAAACAGTTCTGACAATGGATATAAAAAAAAAAAGTTCAAGTGTATTCTATTATTGATATAAGATAGTGTTATTATTGTATGTTCGAAACGAAAGCCTATTTAAACTCTTTCTGTAGTTGATATTTAATGTGCTAATAGTCGAAGAAAGAGTGCTTTGCACTCTTTAACAACCCCAACCACAAATGTAAAATTTTCATTTGTTATTTCGCATTTTGGCCAAACTTTGTAGGGATTCTTGAAATCTAATGTGTCATTTAGTTCACCAGAAAAAATAAGCTAAAAAAGCTTTCTATAGCAATAAAAAAAGGGTGCTTATATTTTATTTTTACATTCTTTTGCCACAAGTGAATGTCAATTTCATTATATGTATAAGTTTATAATTTTGCAATGCAGAATTTAGAGTTAGGTAAATCAGTTGAATTGTAGCTTCCATAGGTTTAAAATCCCAGCGGTTGTATAACTGCTTTTTAATAAATATTGTCACCAACTATAATTTATAGACTCAAGAGTAGTATGCACTAATGCTAGAATCAACGAAGACTTCATCAATCCAATTATTAGAAATAAATATTGAAAAATAAATAATAGACTATCGGTTTTTTGGTTTCTTGAGGTAACTTTTGGTTTATCCTTTTGATATTTTTTTTAAGCCTTTCTATTCCTTTTCTTTCTCTGTCAAGCTCTTCCCTTTACTGTATACATAATTGATTTGTTAATAATTCGAGTTCAGTTTTGGTCTTTTTGAATGGACCATATGAAGTTTCTCCATCGCCTTCAGCGAATATTTAATGTCCTTCTTTATTTATGTTTGCATGAGCTGATTTTGCAACTAAGACATGTAAATAAAGTCTTAAAATTGCGGTGATGAAAAATTTTGTAAAGAATATCTGCAGGTAATAGCATTTTAATTGGCAAGACAAGAGATGATAAAAGAATATTCAATATAGTAACTGGTTCATTTAAATAGTTTTCAGCACAATGAAAGGTTCAATAATAAAGTATTCTTGAAAAGCACGATTGCTTTTATATGAGGCTTATCCACGGGATATAACAGTGATTAATATCCAAGGTTCACTAGCTTATCACTAAGATCATGGCGCTAATTCAACAGTAACAGTAATATTTTCGTCATAAGATGCAGTAAAAAAATTTATTTATTAATTTAAAAATTTAAACTATAACATTTGAGAAATCAGTTCTTGATATTACATATATCTAAAATTAACAAATAGAAAATAAAATTTCTAATCGATACTCTAAACAATTTAAGCTTTAAGTTAAGTGATTTTTCATTCAATTTTTCTAATTATTCAAAATCTGTGATCTATCGATGAATAGACTATTTTTTCTTGCATTCTGCAGATGAGACCACGTTTATTACAACATAAAGAGAAGAAATATATTGGGATAATGTCTAAGAGAAATTGATTGGAAAAGTCGATCACAGTGGGTAATCACTTTTTGAGACCAGTCAATAAGCCTCAATTGTTTGAAGTTGATATCTGAGTCAATGTTATTAAGTTTCTAAATTAGAGATCGAGTGATTTGCTTTTTGCTTAGTGTTAAAGATGCATTTACAGAAGAAATCCTTTTTGATATCAATTGTGGTGTCAACGTAGATAAATTAGAAATCATATGAAAGTATAATACGTTAATTGACTTTAGCACATCCTTAAAACATATCAGTGTATAATAAAAAAAAAATCTTAAAACGTATATTTTGGGGAAAAAAGATTATCAAGATCGGAAAACATGTTATACTTCGCAAAAACGCGTTTAGATTTATACTGGCCAGATTATTTAATTTAATTGGTTAAAATTTTTTAATCAATCAAAATCTTATAATATTGACTACGTGCGTACAGAGAAAAGATCAGTTTAGTATATGGGATGAACAAAAAATTGGATGGTAAGGAGGTGTAAAATACCTATTTTAAAAAACCATATGTGCCATACTATATAATTTCTAATGCTAACTCTAATAATATATCACACCACTGAGGATTTTAATATAGAGGTATTTCACATATCTATACTGGTGTAATTTAAGTGCGGACCAATATCTGATATTGATATTGGTTTCTCAATACCCTAGTATGTATTTTAGAATTATCAAATAACTTACCAATGAAAAATCTAACACTAAAAAAAAAAAGTAAACCAATTCGAGAAATCGAGAATAAATAGGAAACAAGCACTCTGAATATAGAATTTTTTAATATTTATTTCTCTAATAATTGATTATTAAAAACCATTTCAATAGTATACAGTATATATTATATTCTAATTTAGAATAGAACTAGCACTTAGATTCTAAACTACATAAGCACAGATCCATACCGAATATAAATGAAAACAGCAACTAAAAATGTAATAAATGTTTAATTAACTAAATTAATTTGGTGACATTAGTTGGTACCGGCGATTCATTGTAGTTTATATTAAATGATTTACCAACAGTTTGATCAATAGAATTATATCGTAATTATGATAGACTTGTGTCCCGTTTTTACTGTATCCTACAAACAAAATTGCACTCGTAACATTTTATTTTAGAACGCTAGAAACATTAAAGGTAAGACCTTGCGCAGGAACGAGTGGATCAAGAGAAAATACTACATCAAGAAGAGGTTGTTTATCATCGCACGGATCAAATTGAGTAGATCTTTTTTTCGAACGGAATAGCATTGGTAACAGAAAGTGCAACTAATAAACAAATACGAAAATAAGTTTTTGGCTCATTTTTTCCTTGTATATATGATATTTAGCGAAGGTATTTTATTTCTTATGACAACTGTTCTTAATTGGCTTCAAAATCATTTGCTTTTTATAAGAATTTTCATCTAAAAAAAATAATAATAAAACTTTATACTGTATTTGTTTAAATTTTCTAAAATTACACAGGTCGAATGAAATTTTTATTCATTATTGCGACTGTGACTACAAATACAGAAATTTCTTGCCATTCATTATGAAATACCCAAAGACTTTTGCTGATTCAAAAATACAAATTCGTAAGAGAAAAAGAACATTAAAACTAGTAGTGTATAAATAGTGATGCTTAATTTGCTGGAACATACCAGTTTTATATTTCTGCGTTTATATGAGTTAAATATAGATTTAGAATTTTTTTTTTTTTGACTTATTTAAAAAAACTGATTGAAAGTTTAGAATAGAATTAGGTAGAATTAGGTATCGAAAAAGAAAACAGAATTTTATTCGTTATCGGGAACCTGTTGAGATAGAACGTGTTATTGTGAAATAGGTATTGAAAGAGGTGAATAAGGAATTTATTCATTCATTGTAAGAAATTTACTGAGATAAGATGTGCTAGTGCAATAAATAATCTTGGAAATTGTTATTCATTTTAAACAACCATACAGCGTACGGTACGTGCGTACGAATATCACATTAAGTATCCGATCAATGACTAATAATAGTTAGACAATTATTATTATCGGATAATAAACTATATATTAACGCATAAACAATTAATATACTATATGCTGTGTCCGTTGAATGAACAATGCACGTGCTGACGACAAAGCGCAGCTGCCATATAGGTCTTAGTAATTTTTCTAAAGATTTTGTAATATATTTTATATATATGATAATGGCTTGTGTATGCTGTATATAACGATTATGACTTAAATATATATATATATAATTATTGTACAAATAAATTGTTCATAACATTATTAGATGATGACTAATTCTCGACACTATTCTTAACTCCATTCTCGACACTATTAACTCCTGTTTCGTTCTTCTTAACTTCTCTAGTTTCTATATTATCAAAAATTTCGATCATAGTATAAATACCAAATAGTATAAACCATAAATCTAACCAAAACAATAATAGTGAAACTCGATTGACTTCATCCAAAGTAAAATAAAACGTTATATAATGATCTATCCCAACTAAAACTATTGATATTATTCTACCTTGAGAACATTTTACACATCCACCTATTATCACACCAGAAACTATATATGGTGCATGAATTCTAATATCGAAACCAGTCTCGAAAAACAATATAATGAAATAAATAGTCGCTCCAATAATTGATATAATTAATATAGAGACTAAACAACCTATTATCACCTTGAATATAGCACCAATATTTTCCCAATTATTTTCCCGTCTACAACAGTTTTTAAAAGAGACTAGATAAATTAAACCTACAAATATTATCCCTATGCTTTCAACAATTGTGAAAATCATAAAAACTATTGTTTTTTTACTGAAACCTTCCGTCATGTAAAAAAATATTGTCGGAAAAATTATGACTAAAAATGCTGATAAGGCTCCAAAGATTATTCCCCTGATAATTCTAAATTCTCTTATTGGAATTATAAAGATTACAAGAATTGCTGTGACTATCATATAAGGAATATATTCATTTAGCTCAAAGTTAAACATTTGAGGAAGTGTTAATCTTGCCGATATAGTAGGTATCAGGCAAGTTATGAAGAAAAGAAGTTTAAGAAAAGGTTTTCCCATCATTATTCTTATTACTTCTATTAATTATAAAAATCTTTTTTTTGTTAAAAAAAAACGAATTTTTAATTTTTATTACAAGGAATTGTCTGGGATTTAAAATTTACAAGATATCGGTATGGATTGCCCGTTATTTATAAAAAAGAAAAAAAAACGATAAAATGTAATGGCATGTTTATTCATTCTAGAAAAAAAAACAAAAGTTTTATTCCCTAAAAAATCTTAATTGAACAGAACTCGTGTGTTCAAAGTTTATTCTTCACTCATATTCTAGAAAGAAGCACATTTCCATTTCGAAAATCAATCTATCTATATCGCTTTTGTATAAAATTTGGGTTTAACTGAAAATTTGAAACATGTGATCATTACGTAAAGGTAACTTTCCCGAAATGGATGAAGCAAGTGATCTTTATTTTTTTATTCACTGACACAAAGTACAAAACATTGTATTTTACCGTTTATGTACATGAAAGAAGATGCACATGTTCATAATAATTCATATTAGGAAGATTATATAGCATGGGCTATTATTAGCTCTGTTATTATTTGAAATAAGTCTTCGTCTCAATGCTGCAGTAAGTTTTTTTAAGGTGAGGACTTGTAACTTTAATTCGCTACATGAGCTGACCTAGAGATTGGAACCGACCAAAAACATTAACTGGGCTAAAGAATTTCCTTGACCGATTAATTAGACGATTAATATAAAATCAAAAATCGTTCAGATGTCTTGTTTTTTTTTTTTATCTATCGAGAATTTTTTTCTACACGTAAATAAGTTGTTGATTAGTGTATAATTTTCAATCATGATCTATAGAGTTCCAGCGTTATTAAAGCGTATTTTGATTGCTGATAAGTGCTCACATCTTGTTGGAAACTTTAGATTAAACGTTGCTCCCTTAGGCTATGGCACTTGGAAAATGTGTACCAGGTTGGGATCGGATGATCATCCTGAATGCTAGGTCGGAACGATATGAACATTCGAAACTAGAAACAAAAATCATGTACAGTACGTACCCATTTTGTTGATGAAATAAAATTAGTTATCATGATTTAAATTATAATAAGTCAATAAAGTTTTCTTTGTTTTTTTTCCTGCAAAAAAAAAAAAAAACGACGCAAAATTTGTCATAAGCATGTATTTTAATATTGTAAGCTTTATTTCGTTAATTACAAACAAGAAACCATCAAATTAGGACTTAGTTAAACAAAATCGTAGGATATATCAAATCTACCTATGTCACTTCGCCAAATACTTTCGTCCTTATGAGTCACAAGTTGAAACTATAATGACCAAATGTGAAAATATGTAATGTTTGGCCGCTAAAAAAGATAATTAAATTAGGTTGGTATTTTAAATTTTTTTTAATAATTCAGAATTTATTTAATAGCTATGTATCAACGAAGATTTAATAAGATATAATTCTATTGAAAAGTTTTTCAACATTTCATTAGTAAGTTAAGAATAATAATAGCCAACTTCTTGCTGGCATTGAATATTTCAAGAAGGCTACGAAAAATCCAAATCTCTATTGACAGACAAGTTAGCGTCTTATCTATTTCACCAAATTTCTTTACAGTCAACGAATATTCAGAAAGAAAATTTCGATCAGGATGAAATGAAGGGCGTAAAAAATTATCAAACTGCATAAAGGAGTACATAAATCGAAGAACGCTACAGAAAACAAACCAGATGATTAAAAAAAACAAACTATTAAATGCCGAAATTCATGTTTATTTGTATTATTCATTGCGTTAGATATGTGTTGTAATTGCTTTATATTATCGTTATAATTGAAAAATAAAGTCTTAGTAAAAAGAAAAAGAAAAAAAAATTAACAATTTGAAGACATTTTCCGGACCATCATCCGAACCCAACCTGGTACACATTTTCTGGGTGCCATAATTACATGCCGTGACGTATTCTGAGTTGTAATTTTTTTAATTCGCTTCCACCACTAATCAAGGATCATGACTTTAGCATTCCCATTATAACTTAGCATTGTTATGAGAAATTATTAGTGGGTCCTTTTAAGAACCCTATCAGAAACGGTACGTAACGGTTTTTAACTCGTCAGGAGTGTACTGACAATTAAGTATTTTTGCGTCAGATCTGGGAGACTAATCAGGTCAAAATGGACTGAAATCACGTGGTTGCCACATTTTTGAGGGTTTAGCATCTTAGGTAACACGCCCACAAAAATTGTCCCCTCCTGTAATTTTTTACTGAGAATAAAACAGCGCTGTAGTTTGGGTTGGGGCTAGGACTATCGTTAGGACAATAGAGTTTCTATTGGTAAAATTTCACAAGGGCATTTTTAATTAGACCGCAAAAGGTGATTTCTTAATTAAAATTTCGAATGATTTCTGTTCTTTGTAAAAAAATGGTTTCGTTTTGATTGTTTACGTTACACCTGATTTTGAAAATTGATTGGTCAAAAATCACGGGAGGGAACAATTTTTGTGGGTGTGCTAAGTACGTACGTACATACGTACTAGCAGACCCCTTTAAAAGGAAATTCATTGACACTAAAATATACTCATTCCTGGTACGTATTCGTATATTATTACACCAATTCCATTTTGATAACAGTATCCAATTTATAAATATATTTGTCATTTCTTAATTTTTCAAGTACTATATTTTATTAATATATTATTCAATAAAAAAAATTTATTATATATACGTATTTTATAAAATAAAAATTTTGATACATAGTAAACCTAAATAATTTTAAAATAAAGAAATTTATGTTATTTTAGCTTTTAAGATTGTAAACTATATTATAAAAATATAAGTTAAATTTTTACTGCTTACAAATAGTAGATTTATTATTTGCATATGTACTAAAGCTTTCAAAATCAGTACAATCAAGATTAATTTAAGGAATCAGCTTGAGGCAAATCTAAGTAAACAAAATAATACTATTTTTAATAAATTAATATGATATAATTTTGATATATTAGTTAAAAATAATACCTTTAATAGCATTTGAAATTAATTTAGTGCTGATAATTTTACTAGTATACATTTCATCAGAATGCTTTAATATTGGTAATGATTTAATAACTTTATCAGCATCTAAGAATTGGTTTTTGATTTCATCATCACCATATGAATTAGTTATCTTAGAAAGCCAACTATCTATTGTACTATAAACCTCCCAAGCACTAGGCCGTTTTTGTGGATCAGAATTCATGCATTTCTCAGCCAATTCAATATAGCATTTAGGTGTACCAGAAGCAAACTCTGGTCGTAATCCTTTGCAAATATTGATTGCAAGTCTTGTATCAAATTTATATCCATCAAAAGGTCTTTGCCCAGTTGACATTTCTGCCATAATAATTCCAAATCCATAAATATCTGCTGGCTGTGTAAACTGCTGCTTACCTGATAAAACTTCAGGAGCAACATAAGGCAATACTCCATAAATATCGCCTTCAGAAATACATTCATCTGTCTTTCTTGATAATCCTAGATCTGCGATATATGATTGTGCATTTTCATTATCGGGTTGGTCTTGTAAGATGTTACCACTATGAAAATCAGCATGGACGTATCCTGCACCTCTGTGAATATCTCCTAATTCATCTGAAATATTTTTAAGTATCTGTAATTTGGTCTGCCATGTAAGTTTATTAAAATTTTTTCTCAAATATTTATGAAGACTCCCATTATTAGCGTACTGAAATACCATTAAGTATTCATTTGTTTTTGTATTTTGAGTTATTCCATATATTGCGAGTTTACCATAATGTAATTTACATTTCATAAAAGTTTTAAACTTAAGGGTTTAAACAATGAGTTAGTTCAATAATCTAATAAATAAATTATCAAAGCAATAAATTGCTTACTTCTTTTAAAAAATCAAAATTGTTTTCTTTAGAACCGGCCAATGTCTTGAGTGCAACGACGCTATTTGATTCACGTGATTTCTTGTAGTAATGGTTGGCATTATCAACTTTAATCTCGTCAACTTTTCGTATGCCATCCAACCAGATTGCTGAGTATACAGAGCTAAATCCTCCTTTACCAATTTCTTTAATTTCAGATAATCTATTAAATGGAATCCATTCAATTGTATCTTCATATGTATGGGCTCTAAGTTGGAATCCTTTCATGCAATTATCAATATCTTTATTTCCAATTGTCCACCTTGTCGTTATGTCGGGGTCGCATGATAGACACCATGATGGTTTCGTGTTATATTCATTACAATGCGCACATTTTCCATACCAAGAATCTCTTTATAATCATAATGTATAATATATAGCAATTATTTCATTTTACCATAAACTTTTATATTTAATGTAAATAATTTTTATCTTACCGACTAAAATTAATGCGAATGGAATGATTTATATGTAAGGTAAATAAATATTTGCGATCTTAATTCATGAATTTGTTTTGCTATGTTTTCTTCTAGAAATTAATAAATAGTTTTCATACTTACGAGCTAAGCAAGATGATTAATGCGAATAAAATGATTTGTACGTAATGGTAAATAAGCGCTTATGTTCTTGTTTTGCTTGTAAAATTATTAAATGTTCTTTATACTCACAGGCTAAATTAATGCGAATTGAAGTTGTATGTAATGATATATAAGGTTTTATTTCTTATTTAAGTTGCTTTGCTTTTTTTTAATCCTAGAATTTATAAATGTTCTATACTTACAAACTAAATTATTACGAATGAAATGATTTATATGTAATGGTAATTAAGTTCTTGATTTATTTTGCTGTTCTCAATTCTATAATATCCATTAATAATTGTTCTTATACTCACTAACTAATTAAAGATTTGTAAATATTAGTAAATAAGTACTTATGTTCTTGCTTTGTGAATTTGGTTTCTATTTTCATTCCTAAAATCAACAAATTTTCTTTATACTCACTGACTAAATTAATACGAATGAAATGATTTGTACGTATTGGTAAATAAGTACTGATGTTCTTGATTTGTGAACAGGTTTCTGTTTTATTTCTAGAAATTAATAAATTTTCTTTATACTTACGGGCTAAATTAATATGAATTAAATGGTTTATATAATGATAAGTAAATATTTATGTACTTAATTTGTGAACTTGTTTTGCTTTTTTATTTCTAGAAATTAATAAACTTTCTTTATACTCACCGCCTAAATTAATGAGAATTAAATGATTTATAAGTAGTGATAAATAGGTATTTATGCTAATGATTTGTGAACTTGTTTTGCTGTTTTTATTTCTGGAAATTTATAAATGTTTTTTATACTTACATGCTGATTGAAATGATTAGTGAGAATTAAATGAGTTGTACGTAATGGTAAATAAGTATTTATTCTTCGATTTGTGAAATTGGTATGATGTTTTTATTTGCAGAAATTATTAAATGTTCTTTATACTCACTAACTAAATTAATGCGAATGGAATCGTTTTATGTTATAGAATGTAAGTTCTCGATTTGTGAACTTGTTTTGCTTCTGAAAATTACTAAATGTTCATTATACTTACGGGCTAAATTAACACAAACCATATCGTCGGATTTGCGGAATGGATCTAAATTAAGGTCCCTGGGTTTAACAATTGCAGAGTGCATAATAGCCGAAATTTTGGGGTCAGTTTTACAATCGCATTGTTAAAATATATGGACCTTAATTTATGTCAATTCCGCAAATTTGCCGATATGCAATAAATATTTATAAACTTAAAAAATTGCTAATATAAACTAATAAATATTCTTTATGCTTACTCCCTGATAATTAAATTAAGAGTATTTAATTTTCAAAATAAAAAACAAAAAATAAAAAATATTATATATAATAATAATAATAATTAAAAATTAGCCTACTTTCTTATCCATTCCAAAAATTTATCATAATTCTCTTCCACACCAATTCCAAAACAGTAACAAATAGCAGTTTTAAAAATTCCCATAGAATTACCCGCCTCAGCAGACTTCAAATAATATGTAAATGCTTTATGTTTATCGATTTTAGTTCCAATTCCTAAATAATGACAATAACCAATTTGATACATTCCGTTAGAATTATTCATCTCTGCCGATTTTTGATAGTGAGCAAATGCCTTGTTTTCATCCTTTTCAACTCCAATTCCATATTCGTAACAATAACCAATCCAATATATTCCGTCTGGGTCGTTCATATCTGCTAATTTTTGACAATTAACAAAGTTTAATTGGTTAAAATCATCAATAACTTGAACAATATCTTTTAATCGTTCTTCCATCTTAGTTATAAAAAACAAAAAAAAAGAAATATTAGTGTATTGCACATTAATGTACTGTATACGTACGTATTTATTTGTGGCTTATAATTTTGCTATTTGTGGTTATGTGGTGCATTAATTTAATTAACATTAATTAATTAATTTTTAACACGGTAAAACGATGCACTTAAGTTTGTGAAACTTGATTTGCCTAAATTTGTTTACTTTTGCACTATTTTATGGTGATTACTATCTTATTTAAGCGTAAACCTCCGTATCGCAACCTTTATCGCGTTGCCTTGCTTATGCTTTGAGCTGATCTGATCTGATATGATCTGCCCTGAGCTGAGCTAAGCTACAGCGTAGAAAAACTAACGAGTAATTTTAACCGTATCAGAGGATGCAAAAAAAGCGTTTGAATTGTTCTTGAAAACTATCATTACATAAACAGCATAGATAAATATTCAGAGTAGAGTTAATGCCTCAATCCGGATATCATATCGGCGGATTTACGGAATTGGACCTTTTTTTTAATACCCCAAATTTCATATAATTTTACAAGTTAAACCATCTTATCTCTAAGATCTAATGGATTTACGCTTATCTAATGGGTTTATTTATATGATCAGTTATATGTCGATCATCTGATCATCATCTGACCAATCAATTTTTGTAAACAATCGCATTTTGGGGACCATTTTTAGGGTCCAATTTCAATTCCGTAAATCCGCCGATATGCCAAATTTTTCAACAAAATACAAAAAATAATTAGAAATGAATAATCCCTTCGTTTGGATCTGCCAAAGAATATTAATTGAAGTTGAATACATTTTTTTATAAACTCTAATTTTTGTCGAAAATAATTAGCGTTCTTTATCGTAAATATGAGAATTCCCTTACAATCAATTCAAATAACATTGTCTTTATCGCATATCAAATTCCTCAATAATCCTTTTGCAAATTCGATATTATCCTTTTGACACTATAGTCCTTATTCAAACTGAACTCGTTAAGAGTACAAATTGAAAAAATGTGACCAAACCTTATAGTTAGAGTGTCCAGATTATACAATTTTGACGATTTTTATTCAAACAATATAAACTGAATTGAAACCGCATAATCTTTACTTCCAGTAGAGGTGCGATCCGTAAACTATTAGCAGTTTATTTATATGTACTGTACTTCACAGTTCACATCTCTAACTTCCAGGTTTTGGTTTTTTTGCAAGTTAGTCATTAATGAACTTTCTGAAATACTTTTTTAATCTTTTTGATTAAGTTTTTTTTACATAAAGTAAAATAGGAATCACTTCCACAGCACGTTTGAATACTCTTAAATTTGGAAGACCTAAAAAATTCTATCTTTTAGGATGAGCAATTTGCTTTTGAGAAATGTAACATTTGAAGTAATAAAGAGCTCTTTATTTAATAATCATAAGTAGGGTAGGGTCTTACACATAATAAATATAATTTAATAAATAAAAAAATAAACTTTATTAATATGAAAAATTTATTGAATAAAGACCCAACTCACTCTTGCTCAATTTTTTCAAATGTTTTATTTGTTAAAAAATTAAAATATTGGTTGCACTTCATGTTATCAATTTTTTATATTTGTGAAATCATGCAGTTAACAAACAACAATAGAAATTTTTATTATTTTTACTTAAGTGTTGCAAATGCGAAAATAAGGTTTTCTAGAAATGAAAATATTTAAAAACATTTTCATAATATTAGTAGAATTGTGATCTGTAATTTAATATAATAAATTAATCTCGCTTAGAAGATGCCTGGTAATTCAGTAAACCCAACTTCACCCACTTTTTCTGAAGTATTGGAAATAATTATTAAATCTTCTTGGTTAAACTGGCTATTAGTATTTTTTCCACTGGGTATCCTGGCTGATTTTTTATTCCATTGGACAGGGCTAGTCACTTTTGCTTTAAATATTCTGGCGATTATCCTTTTGGCAAGTTTACTAAATCTTGCTACTGAAGAAATATGTAATCAAAAAGGAGGTTCTATTGCTGGAATATTAGGCACTGCTTTTGGTAATGTGGTCGAATTAATAATCTCAATTTTCGCGCTAATTCATGGGGAAATAGAGGTCGTCCAAGCTTCCATGTTAGGGTCGATTATTTCTAATCTATTGCTGGTGCTAGAAACTTGTATGTTGGTGGAGGATTTTCTCACAAAATCCAAAAATTTAACCAAACTGTGCACAAACCAGTTCAAGTTTAATAACTCTTTCTTGCATTAGCTTGCTTATTCCGGTGGCATTTAACTCACTTTTTGACAACAACAATAATAATAATAACTCAATACTAATTCCTCAGGAAATTTTAGATTTTTCCCACAGAACAGCTATCTGCTTACTCATTGCTTATTTACTTTTTCTGTTTTTCTAACTAAAAACCTATCTATTTTTGTTTAAAGAAGATGAAATAGACATTGAACAAGTAGTTCCTTTAAAAGTAGAGAATCTACTATTTTCTCTTTCTTTCTCCATTAGCTTATTAGTTATTGTTACTGTCTGCGTCGCTTTTACTTTTGACTTTTAGTTAGTTCTATTGAAGAGGCTACAAAGACGCTTAAAATTAATAAGTTTTTTGTTGGCCTAATTATTTTGCCAATTGCTAGAAACGCCGCTGAGATATTAATTTGATTTACAATGAAAGAAGAGAGTTATGATGTTTATTAAATTTTTTTAGTACTTTATGACAGTAACTACAGCAAAAAAAGACAAAATGGACTTGGCAATTTCTATTTTTGTTGGATCTGCGACAGTAAGTAAATTTTTAGCCTTGATCTTCCTTTTTACTAATAACTAACTTTCTCACTGTCGACAGCAAATTGCTCTACTTATCATCTCGCTCTTGGTAATGTTAGGTTAGATTATTAACCAACCAATGAGTTTTTCTTTTGGTATTTTCGGAACGGTTTCACTATTTGTGTCAGTTTTATTAACTGATTACATTATTCGGATAAGTTTATTATTTTTAAATCATCGTTGAGATGCATTAAACTAATTTATTGTCGCAGCTGATGCTGAAATTTGGGGTCTCTATTTAAATCTATAATACCTACTAAAATCCACATATACTTTTTTATTAATAAAACTACCCTACTAACCCTAACCTAACTATGAAAAAAAAGTGTAAAAAAAAGTTATAATAAAATATGAAAAAATTTCAGCATCAGCCGTTTTCAGCATCAGCTGCGACATTTATTATTCTCATTTATTTGCCAGAATGGTAAATCAAACTGGCTAAAAGGGTATTGTTGTTAACCACATATTTAATAATCGCTTTAGCTTTTTCTTTTATCCCGCTAGAATAATTTATTCTAATTAAATTACAAAAAAAGTTAATTTTGCTAGAAATTAGTAAGCAATTATGTAATGTGGGTCAAAATATGAGATTCTCGACCATTAGCCAATCAAAATCGAGGACCTGCTAACAATTTTGCTATAAATACTGGAGGTGATCCGATTTCTTATTTAAATTTAGAAAATTGCTCCTCTTGCCGTGCACTAGTTACAATTAAATTTTAATTATAAGAATATAATATTATAACAATCGAATATTTCCTGCGAATCACGAATTAATAAATAATTTACGGTGGATATTCATCAGTTTTAATAGTGAATTTAGTTGACTTAGTACACGTATTAGTTGATAAAATCAACTTAGCCGACTAATTTGATCGATTTTAACTCAGTACGATTCTTAGTTATATATATAGATCGGGTGGTGATTTATGATAATAAATAAAAGCAATTGACTTTGTGTCGCTAAAAGAAACCCCAACAATAAATAAATTGTCAGGTTTTCTTTTAGCAATGACACTCAATAAGCATTGGGTGAATATTTCAGCATTCAGTAGATGCTGAAATAAGTCATGTGATTAATTAAATATCGATATGAAAAAAGTCTCACTCATTAATCATGGTATTAAAAATAAAAATATTTTTTTAATATTGCTAGGAGATAAATGAAGGATTTTCATTTGAATAAAATTATCTCGTAATACATTATATCTTCACGAATTAGCAAGTTTTTAATTAATCGTAATTATTATTTTTAAAAAATTAACATTTATTTATATGGACTCAGATCAAATGCAAAATTGACTTTAGTTAAAATGCATAAAATACGGCACATAATATTCAGCAAAATCAAATCAAAATTTGACAAATTTAAATTTTAATTTGATTTTGTGAAATATCATGATGCCACTAAATCAATTGATTTTACCAATTCATTGATCTAAATAAATTATATATATTTTTTATTTAAATTTGTGAATTATTTAAAATTTTTTTTCATGATCAAATTGAGATAAACAATCCTATGATTTTTATACTTTTCACGTTAATAATACTATCTAACCGATATTTTTTTTTTTCAAAAAGATCAACTCTCTCTACTGACCATTTGCACCAAATTTTGACAAAAGAAAAATTAGGCATAAAACATTTTTAGACATAGGAAACAATATAAAGTAGTCAAAGTAAAAAGGAAAAGCACCTAAAAATATATATACTTTGTTAGAACAATAACAAAGTTTCCAGTACAAGCGTTAGAACTTTTTTTGGTTGAAGATATATTTTCTCTAAAAAACCACTTTTAAAAAACTTTTTTTGTTTTTTTGGGGATACACCTAGACAAGGCCCCTGAATACACTCATTGGAACCTCCGTGGTGATAATAGGAAGATATCATATATGTTTATTAGTACAAAAACCTGGATCTGTACAAGGTTACACTTAAGCTCAATAGTACTAAAAATTCAATCCGTACAATGGGGTTCGATTAATGTGATATCTCCGTATTCAGGGGCCCTACCTAGACCCTGAATTGCACTATAAGACACGTAATCAAACAAACAAAACAAACAAACAAAAAACAACACGTGTACAAATAAACAAACATTCCATCATATGTTCACTTATAGCAAAACAAACGTATATTCTAGAAATTTCAAAAAGACAATCACACAATATACTCATAGCTCAGATATTACACAAATAGTGAATACATAGATCTAATGCTAATTAAAGATTTTGCTCTAGCATTACAGAATAAACAAAAAGAAGTATTTGCAGAGCAAAGCAAATTTATATTAAATGTAGACCAAGATATCTTAGATATCAGGACCCAGAACTTATAACAACAATCTGCAGTGCAATTGAAATTCATAACTGGGCTTTGTGCAAAATAGATCAAAATAAAAAATTGTCGATTGAGGAACAGATGCTTATTGGCAAAGTAACTGAGGTTACATCAAATATGAAAAAAGAAAGACTTAAACTAAATGAGGAAAAAAGGCTAGAATTAATATGCACAACAAAAATGAAGCTAAATATAAAAGAAGAAGAACCAAGTATACAAGAAGAAACCTTAAAAAGAAAATGTGAACTAACAGATAATGCGGAAGATCTAACTGCTAGGAAAAAAAAAAAAAGCAATACTATTAAGATTAGTGGAAATAAACCTTAATGAGAGTGAAATTGAAATATTAAAAAAAGATAACACAGAAGGTGCAAAAACTAAAGTGACATTAATTTATACTAAGTTTGAACAAAAAGATCATTCAACTCAAGAAGTAAAAAAATAGGTAGGTGTAGTTAAGAAAAGAAAAGAATTAAACGAAAAAGAAGTTAAAAAAGATGATACTGCACTAAAAAGAAGTAAAGATATATTTAAGTCCATGTGGGCATATAAGAATAGCTCTAAACAGGAAACTATACCAGAAGGCAATATCAAGAACAACAAGAAAGAGGCCCTTTACTTGGAAGTGAATTTAACCATCTAGAACTTACCCATATCGACAAGAATAAGAAATATAAAGAGATATCTAAAACCATATGGGTTTTTAGAAAATATCGAGTGGCGCATCTCAGCAAAACGTAAAGCTGCTTATGTTAGAGTTAGATGCAGAAATAAGGAAAAAAAGCATCTCTTTATAAATACTTGGGCAATTCATTATGAAATGGGAAAAACAGCAAGAGTAACAAGCAACAGATTTAACATAAGAGAACTGGGGCTTAGAAATGAATTCAAACTTATTTTAAGAGGAGTACTACATAATGCATATGAAGCAACTTTACTTTGCCAACTTAGCAATCTTAAAGTTAAAATGGTACATATACTAGACAACATAAATAGCAATTAGAGAGAAGCAGCATTTATATATTTTGCATCAATTTTGGATCTTCAAAAAGCAAAATCAACAAATCCATATTATTATAATCTTTGAATGAAGTGGGATAAAATTATCATTATAGAGAGCATTGCCCTTTCAATAATAAAGAGAATCAAGAAAGAAAAGAATATATAAAAAGAAGCACGCAGAAAAGTAAATATCATATACGAAAGCAACAAGCAAATAGAAACCAAAGCCCAAAGAAGAGTACTCACACTGATAGAGTGTATATAAATAGCGATAGAGGTAGCATATAAGCTAGAAGTAACACCAGAAAGCCTCTCATCAATATAGATAATATAAACTTATATCAGGAATCAGAAACTGCAACAGGATCAAATAGATTGCCAATTATTGATCGTAAGAGAAAAAAAACTGAAAGGCAAGAAGTGAATGAGTTAGAGGAAATTCTTGAAGAAATAAGACAAAAGTTTAAAGCAATAGAGCAGATAGTTGCAATGCACTCCTGAAAGGCACCAAAAGCGAATCAAGTTATATGGGCATGGCAGAAATCCTTATTTCTGCTACAAAAGAGCCCAAAATACAAAAACAATGTGAGAATTTGAATGGAAAAAATAATAATAATAAGAGTAGTAGTTATAAGTAGCTTAGTTTAGGGTTTTATAATATAAATAGTTTAAAACTAAATAGGCAAAAACTGAGAAATTTAGCAGCTTTAGGCAAAGAAGAGAGTTTGAACATCATTGGGATGGCAAAAATTAATATAAACGAGGAAGAGCATCACCAAAATTTGCAAGGGGATTACTATCGATGTTAATCAGTTATTGGATAGTAATCGATATAAATACCCCCTGACGATGACTATCGAGTTAGTTAGTAATCGATATATATCGATAT